CTGAAAATGGAGGTGAAGGAGATGGCTGAAAATGGGGCTGAATGGCTGTGAAAATGGAGGTGTGAAATTGTGGGAGAAATATCTGATTTCCCTCGCTTTCCTTCTTGCCTCCTTGAAGTCAGACCCAGTCAATTTTTTTTTTTTTTTTTAAATCTTTGGAACTGCCACGTCAGCACAAATTTAAAATCCGGTAAGTGCCCTGTAAGAAGCCTCCTGTACTCCCAGCATTACTCTAATTGAAATCAGATATTTTGCAAGAAAATTTTGACTGAATATGGTTTGTGTTGTAGGCAGGGAGGGGGGACTGTTTATGAGGTTGAGACTGGGCGGAGAGATGGTAGAATTTCCAACGGTACACTTGCAAATGATATGCCAGAGGTGAATGATTCAATTGACACTCTCAGGTCAAAGTTCAGAAGCAAATGACTTTCAGAAAAAGAACTTGTTCTATTAAGTGCTGGTATAATTACATTTTCTGACTTCAATCTTCATTCACGCGTATCTGGCTGAGCTTAAAATATTCACGCAAAAGTAACTTTGTTTATGAGTTTTTAAGTAAATTTTAAGCTTAACCAAACTTAAAGTATTTGTCAAGTTCAGTTGAGTCTATCAAACATGCCATTATTGAATTATCAAAAACTTGCAGGTGCACACACACACACACTCTCTCTCTCTCTCTATTGGAACAACTGCTTGTTTCTTCATGCTTAAAAGATTATACAACTTTACAGGAAGGGATGATAGTGATCCCAAGATAAAACATGCTTTTCTACCAGTGCTAAAAAATCAGTGCCCTAAAAATGGAAATGCTTCTGATAGAATACTACCCGACCAAGTGAGCATCGATAAATTTGACAATCAAAGTCTACGCAATATCAAGAATGGGATGGTCGTGTTAGCATCAGATGCCCGTCTCTACGATGGTAATATTACAAAGAAAATTATGGAATCCTATGCTGTTTCAACGGGACATAATCGTGCTGCTGCTTTGTCATTTGTGAAAGATTTTTCAACTGCAATGGTGAAAATGGGAAGAATTGGTGTAAAGATAGGAACAAATGGAGAGATTAGAGCAAACTCCTTTAATTAAAACATCCCCATGATATTTTGTATGGTATAAGAAAAAAAATAAAACCCGAGAATGAATGCAAAAATTATTACATCTTGGTTTGGTCATTTATTTCTCGTACTTGGTTAAAATTTCACATGGTAGAAATGTTAAGTCTTATTGAATTTGTTCATTAAGAATCTAGGGGTGGGGAATATAAACCGGCCGGTGTTATTTTGCCCCTTGGGAGAGGGTTCTACCTCCGGTTCTTGAACTCAAGTCCTCGTGGCTTAACTGAAAGGGGATAGTGAGGAAAATAGTTCTAATAAAAATATACAATAGTAGGACCATCGATTCAAATAAGTTTACAAGTATGTTGAGAAATTCAACAATGGAGTCGAAGCTCGACCCCATTGTAAAATAAATAAAATTTGGCCGAAACTCTTGATATATAGAAGACAATTCGACTTTATATGTTGATTATAAAATATATAATTCAAATACTTCTCTACGTTCAATTGGAAATTTCAATACTTGATCTCTGACGATATGTTATGATAGAACAGATTTCTAGATTGAATCTACTCTCACCAAACAAACGATCTAAATGCTCGCAAAGACTCGTGAACGAAATACTCCCAAAAATAAGAGTACAACAAGCCAAAACAGTTCAGGGGCACGATCTTTAGCTCAAAGAAAAAAGAAGGGGGAAAAATCATCTATATATACCATTTAAATGTAAAATTTCTGAATGTACTAGAATTTGAATTAAATTTCTATAATATTTTATAGAATATACTTTCTCCTATAATTACTCACATTTTTTTTTTTAAATTCTTGTAACTGAAATTTAAAAAAGATCACACATCATGCTGCATTTATTTCGTCCCAAATTTGAGGCTATTTCAAAATTGCATTTGTGTAACTTAGTAAATTCTTTTAAATTTTCAATTGGAATCTTTCTCGAACTCAGAATTTGTGTTTTTCAAAAATTTGGGTATCTTCATGAATGTTTCTTCACAGTTGTAGCAGAATTTGATACCATATCTGAATTCACAAAAAAAATTGTCTTCTTCAATTCTTGGACTCAAGGGCTTTAACTGCAGTAATATATGTAATGGTTTCTTTTTCATGCTTGATTGCAATCTTCACTTTCCAATATAACGTTTTGCTTCAAATGGCAAGACATTGAAGATAAACACATTACAAAAAATTGGTGCAATCCCTAATGTAACACTCATGTATGATATAGGAGAATAGAATTGAAATTGTATTTTAGGGAAATCGTGTGAATGTGTGTAGTGTTACTTATCTAAGGAACATCGCATGATGAGATACATTTCAGATTTTAAAAAAGAATGACTCATAATCGTAAATATAAATCTTACACTAGAAGCTATATAGTTCAAACATGAGAAATAATTCAATCTAATCAAACAATCAACAGTCACAGTGTTCACCGACAATAGAATGATGATTTGGGATCCAATTCAAACGTCAACTTGTAATGATAAAAATCTAATGGTATGAAAAATCTGAAACCTATGGGACGAATAATGGTACTTCGCGTAAAAACGGGTAGATGCTATTTTAAACTGAAATAAGCATATATTAATAGTGCTTACTCTTATTACGTTTGGTCGAAGATTTTGTATGTTATTTGAAATCCATATTGTTATTGGTTGATAATGTTGGACTACATTTTTCTTCCTCAAGTGGGAGTCGATTACAATTTGCAAGAGTTGTATATTTTCCAGCAGTCTTCAGTTAGAGAGCAGATTTTTTTGCAATCATTGTAATATTTTCTTTTGTAAAATCCAATTTCTTAGCTGTATCCAAATCATGCTTCACTAATGGATAGCCGGGTGGAGTTCTTTATGTAGTCGGGTAAAATGAGAAATGATGAAGTTTCGATTTGGGAATGAGTTGATACAAAGAGTAATTTATGGATGAATTTGGGAATTTGATATAAATAATTGAGATTTGATTGCTGATTGAATAATACCCATTTATCTAGGCCTTTAAATATAGATATTTAGAAATTCTTATAATTAATTATAACCTTCTAATCTATTGCATTTATTATTTTTTAGGTACAATTCAATGAATTGAAGGAAAATTGGAAGAAAAAATGAACGAAAAATATGATTTTCAAAGTTTAGAAATCAAATTGTAAATATTCAATAGTTGATTCAGATCATAAAATGATGATTAAAGATCATACATGACAGATTAGATGACATCAGAAGCCAAAGAATGAAAATTGCATGTGAAATTGACTCGAATTAAACGAAAGAGGAAGGTTGGGGGGTGAAATGAACAACCGCGGAAGATTTTTACTCCATGCTCGCATGCAACCCTTTGGTTTTCCAAACCCAAGGCTATTTTTGTATACCATGCGTGAGCATGGAGTTATTTTCGGGCAGACGGGAAATTTCCTTCTATGATTGAAAATCAACTTTGGACGATTTCTTGACCTAATTTTACCAACTACATATAAAAGAATGAGGGCTAACATTTAAGATATCTCTTTAGCCTCCCTAATCAATTCATATCACGAATTTCATTAAGAATAAGAGGTAAATTCGCCATCTTTGCAGAGAGAAGATCAAATTTATTAAGGAATTGAAAGCAAATTACACGAAGAAGCTAAAGAATCAAGGTTTGGAATTGAAGATCAAGACACAAATCACATTAAATTACATAGGTAGAAATTGAAAACACCGATCCCCTTGTTTATTATAGCATTCGACCATGTCTACTAGTGTATACTAATGTGTACATTGACCTTGTCAAATTGAGAAGAATGAAAATCGGGAACACTTTTATTCAAGCACTCGTTTTAAAGTTGAAAGATGATGTGACACGTTCATCTTCAACTTACTCTTCACATGCAAGTTGAAGACTTTAGTCGAAAGATAGCTTTATAATGGAGTATGAGCAAGTGGTCTCCAACCAGGAGGGCAAAGAAGTGCTATAGTAGGCTTTCGAAATTAAATAAAATATATTTATGTATGAGATATTACACTGATAATGTGTATATTATATTACTCAAGAACATACCGTGAAATCGAAATATCATTCGACTTATCGAAATTTGATTTGAAAAGACAAATTAGTGAATTACCGATTTCGAATATATGAATATGGATTCATCACTTTCCAATCTTGAACGCGTTTCGTTCTGTATTTCAAACATTGCATGAAATCAAAAGAATATTAGTTACTTTCCGAAATCTGAATATTAAATTAGAATGAAATCAGAAACAAAAAATAAGAGATGCAAGTGATGCGATCGGTCGAGGCAAGTGTTCGACACTTTTGCTTAAAATGACTTTGCCCCACATCGGTGCTAACGATTTTCCGGCAATCATCTCCCAGGATACAACGAGCACGTCAAGCCATAGGAGCACTCCAAATGACTTAGACCAACGAACTAGAACGGAGTTCCCTCTCTACCATAACCATGATTTTGATACAAAAAATAATCACTTCTACAAAGTGTTTTATGCAAAACTAAATTGTAAACATGGAATGGAGTAATATGAAACTATCAATTGAATTGTTTGTTATTTTTCATAAAATCCAAACACATGGGAATCTATATATATAGTAGTTGGAAACCACACCAAGAGACACATCTCTTGAAATTAAGAATCATAATTATTGGAAGTTGCTCACACCAAAAGTCATGATCTCCAAAAGTCATAATCTTCCATATGAAAAGACTTATCTTTTAATCTACTCATTCTTTAGAATATTCCACAATATTCTATACAATTTCCAACAATTTCAAACATTTAAGCATTTTAAGTTTGGTTTAATTTCTCATTCACCAAACAAAAAAATTCACTTAAACAACCACTTAAATTGGTTACAACCAATTTCAAATTTTCCAACAATCTCCCACATGAATGAAAATTAATACAAATGACTATGTAGACACTAGTAGAGAGAGGACGAAAAACACTATATCAGAGAAGGTAGCTTTTGGCTTTGAACCTCCCTTAGTGAAATATTATCGGACTTACTGGCTGATTGGTGAACGTGATGTCTTGAACCATTCAGCCGTTGGTGTAAGCCTAGACAACAGTACTCACACAATTTCTTTCTTAAACCGTTCATAGTTCTCATGATTGTGTCCATTTTGGCCCTGGATCACTCTTGGTTTCATAAGTGTTTAGAGAATTTTAGCCTCGAACAATTCTCATTGAAGCGATCTCACTTCACACTTATATAGGTGACCTCCTATTAAGAATATCTTATCTTACTCAACTTAACTTAATCAAGATATAGGAATCATTAAAAGCATAGCTTAACCTCACACTTTGTAGAAAGCACTGTAATTATCATATGAATGAGTAGGAATAATTTTCTAAGTGGTTCATGGAATCTTCATAATTTAGTTGTTCCTTTGAACCAAGATCTTGAGATCTCCAGTTAACAAGGTAGGGTTACCATTACAAAGACTCTTACATAGTAGGCTTTAATCTAATTCCTCTCGATATACAGTATTCTTGATCTCTCGATAAATCTCTTAAAGGTACCACAATTTTACACCATTGAGATCAACTGCTTAATGGTATTATGTCTACGTCTAGACTTACCATTACATGTGACTTAGTATCTCATCAAATATAGCTAGCCAACGATCAATTGATTTAATAGATACAACACGTCACCACCAAGAAATCCTCTCATGAAGCTACATGCTTCTAACTAGCTTTATCTAAAACTTTATAAATTCCAAACAATAATGTTAGAGGATTTCTATCACGTACTACACTAGTCAATCACTTTTCACTAGTAAATTTCAGAAACATGGGTATTCAATACCATTATTGAAATATTAGAATATTATAATGCATTTCAATTTTATGAATATTCTTGAAATATTTCAATTGATCCTACATATCCAAACAAACGCCGTAATCGTCTTTTATCTCATTTCATCTATTTTAGACTTAGTGTATATCATCCTTATAATTAATATAAGGATTTTCTACCTTTTCATCTTCATAGATATATTTCTATGATTATAA